AGAGGGGTTATCTCTATCCAGTTGAGGACACCTAAGTAATAGGCTAATACTAAACCAAAGGCTCACAACACTTTCACGAGCCTCATCATTTTTATTGTCTTCATTACTTCCCTTGTTGTTTACATCAGTGTCCGATTCACTGCCAGAATGTGAAAATCACAAAGGATACTTTGTTCAGTGTCACTGTCAAGACATTTAGAAATTTTACGATATTATTTGCAACACTCAAAAAATCCCTGAGCACAACACAAGCTAGTAAACAATAAACGGAAGCCGCCATTAAAATGCCACGTTGTCTAGGAATATGTAAGAAGCAATCTGATGAGCTGGTAGGAAGACTAACCTGCCAATCTCGAGGCTTGAATTATCGGACCGATACATCGGCCGTCCATTTCCGCTACTCCACACCAGGCCGATAGATCGGCCATCCGGTCTTTTTTTGCTACTACACCCTGGATTGATAGATCGGCCATCCGTCTTTATCGCTACTCCACCATGGGTCGATAGATCGGCACAGCGGCCTCGAGGGGGTTAAACTTCTAAAACCAACAAGAACAAACAAACACATTCAACAACTAATGAACTGTCAATAAAACTTAAAATGAAGTTTATTGGCAGGCATGTTCACAAATATTTCTCTTCAGGACCGAATCTTTTCAGATGGTGCATTGTACAGCATGTTACACTTATTTCTATAACGACGGAGTCAGTCACAATCCAAGCACATAAAAAGATAAGCACATATGTGTGTCGTAATTGCAGTTCTGTACGATCATGTCTTGCACATGAGACTTAAGCAAATGTAGTTATGGACGATTAAGACTAATTGTACATGAGACTTGTATAAATATTTGTAGTCCAAACGCCATGGATAAGATCTTCTGCTGCATTCTTTTAAACATTACAACATTAAACATAAAAATAGACACACGTAGGTCAAGCTCTTGAATAAGTTAAACAGAGTAAAATGTTCAGTTAGGATATAATTGTTAGAATTTGTCGACTAGGTGTAGATACTATGACCAATGGTCCTTCTAAGTACACAAAACCATGCTGCGAAACCAGTGGGGACAGAAGATTTTCCACTTTGCCGTAGCTCAAATTTTAAAGAGGAGATGTTTATCCATGGCAAGTAGAAATGTCAATAACAAAAGATGACCTATTTCAACGGGACGAACGTCTGCTTTAAAACTTATTTCATTCTACTTTCTCACTATTAGCCGGTGACAAAAGTGCGCATCAGATAGACTATAAATTGTGTACATTTAGAGGGACTATGGCATGTTTACTACAAAAGTGCGCATCAGATAGGCTATACTCACAAAAATTGTGTAATTTTAGAAGACTATGGCATGTTTGCTACAAAAGTGCACGTCAGATTGGCTATACTCACATAAATTGTGTAAATTTAGAAGACTATGGCATGTTTGCTAGAAAAGTGCACATCAGATTGTCAATACTCGCATAAATTGTATACATTAGAGGGACTATGACATATGTTAGCTCACGTAAATGGTGCAAAATAAGATTAGAGCAGCGGTTCTTATAATGTGGTCCACAGACGTCCCTTAGTTGTCCATGAAAAGATGTCAGGGGGTTCAATGTCCTTTTTAATATTATGAAGTGCATTTAAAAACCTTGTTTTAAAAATTGGTCCATGGCCAACATCTGACAGCCAAAAGGGTCTATGGAACATAAAATGTTAAGAACCGCTGATTTAGAGGGACTATAAATTAGTGCATGCAGTTCCTGATTTTCTTGACACACAGATTTACACAGTTCAAGATTTTATTTCACAGTACCACACAATAAGTCAATTTTCACATGTATATGATCATGAATCTACACCAGCTTTCTTAAAATGTTCTCTGGTCAATGCTCTATTATTTAACGTGAGCTGTGAAGTCCAGCTTTTGAAAGTTGGTCAAATCATTTTTATATTAAAATTATAACTGCACAAAAAGGTTTACAGTCTGTCAACACAGGCGAGGGGATAACATGAAGATGAAGACATTATTGCATGATGATGAAAAAATAACTTAACAACCAGTTAATTCTCAACACAACACAGCAGATGATTCTAAGGAGTTCAGATAAACAAACCAGGTCAGAAGTGTTACAAAATCTGAAATGAAAAAAAGCATGTCGCAAAATGGATCCAGCAGTGAACTCTTGATTATCTCTTTGGGATTGATTGGCCCATTAGCTGCTTAGCTGTGTGTGGGTTATCCTGTTGGCAGCTTACGCGTACATGGATTTCGGTTCTTTTTCAATACTAACATAATTAATAACTTCCTGTTTCAGCCTATGTACAGGGATGGCAGTTACAGCTTGTGGTCACTGTGCCATGATTTTACTTCATGAATGGATCACTTTTGTATTCCTTCTGAATGGACTCGCGGGTTTATTTTATTGCTCCAGATTGTTCTAACTTTTGTTACGGAATCTCATCACATTATTTTTACGTGTGGATATTTTTTGTTATGCCCCAAGCCCACCATCCTCCCCCCCCCCACCCCACTAGTCAATAAAAAAAAGGAAAAGCCTGGACAATCAAGAGTGTTTCAATCGGACAATCAAAGAGTGTTTCAATCAGTGATATCAATAAGCAGTGTCGTCGTGACATTTTGAAATGTTGATGATATGTTTATTTCATCTAATTTTGCAACCAATCTGTTACGATGGTACCTACATTTGGTAAACAGCTCAGGCTATTTCTCATCATCCACGAGAATTAAGCCGATTCATATTTTGAACACCAACGTCGAACAATCGGTTAGCCTCACACTGGCTGGGTTCTGCGGATTTTTTTTGATTCGGAAAGCACATTTTGTTTCTATCACAACGTTATTTTGACTATGATCAGCATGCACCACTTTCCATCAACATACAGACAGGTAACAGGTAATAAATTGATCATGGGCCCTTAATATATATATATAGAAGAAGAAGAACAGGAACTCTGTTTTCCTTTGTTTACTCGGTCTGTCATGGAAAGTTTTTAGTAATGGGTCAGTTGTCCTGAATGGCTCAATAAGTTTTAAAAAATGGGTCAGTTGTCTTGAATGGCTCAATAAGTTTTAAAAAATGGGTCAGTTGTCTTGAATGGCTCAATAAGTTTTAAAAATGGGTCAGTTGTATTGAATGGCTCAATAAGTTTTAAAAATGGGTCAGTTGTCTTGAATGGCTTAATAAAATACATGAATAAGACCAGCAAACAATTGATGAGAAATGAACATTTTAAGTTAAAAAGGAAAGAATTTTGTAAAATGTGTAACATTTTTTTTTTTTTTACGAATAACAAAGTAAAGTTCTTCAAGATTGAGAAGATCCCTGTTCAAAAACTGAAAGGGTCAAACACATAACTTCTTGGGGGGAGCTCTGATCGAAATTAACAATCAATTTTACATACAGTTCATATTAAAGTTATGTTAAAAATGATTTTACTATGAAAACATAAAACATATAGCAGATTAATCAAAGTAACCACTCAAGAGAGATGATTAACAACGATGATTAACAATGATGATTAACAACGATGTCTGGGACTAGATAAACAAACGGCGCCTGGGAATGATTTCTTTCTGACATGGGTCTATGACAGTTGACCCATCTAAGTTGACCCACGTCAACATGGGCAGATGTTCTTTGTCTTTCGATTCCCAATGTTATGCATGTCCCTCATGCTGGCCTCCTTGTATTGAGGGAGATATCTGGAGGTCAGCAGATAGTCTGTAGTAAAATTCAACAAATGCATGCACAAAATAAATTATTTGGTATTGAAATGTTGAGGAATCCTGGCAACCATCAAGGGGATGGAAAATGTGTAAATTATTAATTACACGGTCACGCAACATGAGGTAAATGCTGAGATAAAAATAACTCTTCACAAAATGTTTCTATGCAGATTCAGCATCAACAGTTTTAACATATATCTGTGGGGTGTTTTTCTTGGTTAGATATCATAACCTGTTAATTCTTTATTTTAAATCTGTTGTTATAAAAAAAAAAACTTAGAGTCAAAAGCAAAGGATAAGCAGTTTGAGACAAAAATATAGATTGTTAGGTATTATTTGATATGTTTTAATTTGCCATGGTAGTTCAACCATTACAATTCTTCACATGCTTTAATTAGCCACGGTGGGTCAACCAAAACAGTTTCTCTATCAGCTTTTGCGGAACAACTGAAAATGAGACACTAAAGATAATTGTCTTTAGCCATTTCAACTTAAAATATCTATTATCGCTATAGCTCTATAAATGTGTCAGGTTTTTCTCAATTTATACAGGAGACACACAAAAAAAAACAACATTTTATTAAATATGTAAAACATTTGTTTAGATTATGTAACAAAAAAACAAAACTTTTGACTAATGCGATTTTTTAAGATATTTTTACAGGACAAGGGGAAGCCCTGACATTTTAAGAGGGGGGGGGGGGGAGAAAAAACATAATTTTTTAAAAATCTGGACGCATTTAGTGAGTTGCAGCTACGCTATCGATAAACATGTTGCACATCTTGAACAAAAATGTCTTATTCCCTTAGTCTGTCAAAAGAATACCGGAATCAGAGATTAAAATTCAGACATGTCTCATTATTTTCAGCATGAATGAGAGCTCTGCTTCTAAGAAGTTTTTGATTATCAGTAAAAAAAAATTAATAATTTAAAAAATATTACAATACAACAGACTTTGAAGAAAAATTTAAAACGCGCTCATATATTTGGAGTAGCATTTTAACATTAATAATACAATTTATAAAAAAATATTTGACAGAAGGATTGACAGCTGGCAGGTAAATTTTCTTTTCCAAATAACCACACAGAAAAAACCACACACAAAAAAAAAAAAAAAAAAAAACCAAAAAAAAACCCACCAAAAAAAAAAAAAAAAAAAAAAAAATTTAAAAATTAAAAATACAATTTAAAAAAAAATATTTGACAGAAGGATTGACAGCTGGCAGGTAAATTTTCTTTTCCAAATAACCACACAGAAAAAACCACACACAAAAAAAAAAAAAAAACAAACCAAAAAAAAACCCACCGAAAAAGGGTTAAGTGAAATGATTGAATGAGGCAATGATAGTTAGTTTTGTGCTTAATCACTGACAGCTGTCACGTGACATGCTTCAAGTGAAGACAAATGCAGGTCTAACAATATCCCAGGGAATACTTCAAATATCCCCCAAACGGATTCATAATTTTTTTTTGTGCTGAAAGCTCTTGTAAATGTTGCGGCTCTTCAATTGCGATGACTGAGAGCACCATAAAAAAAATACAGATTGCAACGGCAGAACAGCCATTTGTATTGGCGCTTAGTATTTATAACCATTGGAAATATTTATGAAAGCAGATGAAATAATTTACACAAAAATAATTAATAAAAAAAGGTAAGCAAGATGACTTACATAATGAACTGCTTTATAATGGGAAATTATTTTAAAATGCCATTTTGAAAATAAAATTGACATCTCAACATACAATATTATATATATACAGATCTGATCTAGGAGCGGATGTCAACTTAAGTGTGGTGGGCTTGGATAACATAATCCGGGATGTCTGTTGTATAAATATATCTTATGATGATGGATGCTATGTGTGTCATGAACAACGATTGATGTCAAAAGAGTTGGCCTATGGAGGGGGGCAAACTATCATACTTTGGCTTTGTTGAACACGGCTACAATCCAATGGGGACGGTCTTTGTATTCCTCTATCTTTTCTTGATAGATTGCCCTGAGGTTCTTTGGTGCAGGGCCCCAGTCGCTGTCTGGTTTAACAGAGGACACCAGACGCTGGAAAGAAATTATACATTAAAAAATTTACAAGTTTTATGTATAACGACAAACCTTACTTTTTTTAAAATTCTACTTTTAGACTTAAGTCACAAGTTCCCAGCATTTTTGAGCTGCAAACTCCATTTGAAAGAAGCACGCAATTCACAGTAGCTTTTAAAAAAAAATTTTTAATTTTATAGGGTAAAAGGAAATATATCAAAAATTAAAATTTTTGGTGTAACTTCATTCATTTAATTTCAAATCTTTAAGTGCAATGATGGAAATTTTAACAGCTGTGTTTTTTTTTGTTGTTGTTATTCCTAGAACCTCATTTAACTCTCAACACTTAATCTGTCACTTTAATTAATCCAAATGAAGACATGATCCATTTTCCAGAGATGTGAATGTGAAGAAGCAAATGTGATCGTTAAAACTTTCAGACAGGGATTAAAACTTTTTTTTTTAAAATTTTTTAAAAAATAATTTTAATTTACATTTAGGCCTGCTGAACCAACGGGAAGATGGTGTGCCGACCCCAATGGAAAGCCGGTGCCAATGATGGGTTTGGGAGCCGGGACTCTGAGCGACTTGGAAATAAAAAAATGTCTACTCAACGCTTTTCTGCTAAATTGAATCGAGTGACACCGTGTTTTTGCACGTACCTGCCAAAGGCTCCCCTTCTGGTTGTAGAGAACCAACGCCATGCCGATGGGGATTGGAAGGAGAGGAATCACAGATATCATGAAGCCGATGATGTTGGCGTGTAACGGGAAGATGTAGCCGTCGTAAACGGGCAGGGAATATTTGGCACACGTAAATATAAAGGCAATCTGAAATTTAACAGCAAATGAAAGGGTCAAACAATGTTAGACATTTTCCAACAAATTTGTATCATTTTTTTTTCACTTTCTTTATGGTTGAATAAAACTATACTGGTACGTTGGAACGTTGATGTCAATGAGATAAAAAAAAAAAATTTATTTTCCCTGCACCAATCAATTCACCATGAACCATTTCATTTGTTGACTGTGAAAATAGTTTTGATCTAAAAGTGTTGGAAAAACTGCCATCCACAAGCCATCCTTGAGCCATCTCAAAAGCGTGTGGTATTTAAACTTATCCATAAGTGCTCGTTATTAACAATATCACATTCATGGTAATATTAATAATAATAATTATTATAAAGCTTATTTGAAAATCACGCTTCATCCCCAAAGGCTCAAAGTTCGGTACAAAGGCATCCATATTAAAAGAGAAATGAAACACATTGAAATGTAAAACGCAACATTACAAAAACTATGCGTGAGAATACCCATTCTAAGTCTTTCATCCCTTGCAACCATAAAAAACACAGGCCACTATACATCTAGAAGATAATAGCTAGCTGGAAAAGATAGTAGACAACATCACCCCCACAGGTGTTTGCTAAATAGATATGTTTTCAAATTAGTTTTGAAAGACTCCAGGGTCTGGCTGTTTCTGAGAGCATCAGGAAGTGTGTTCCAAATATTATACACAGAGACATGAGAGATTGGTCTCCGGGCTATAAATACCATTCCATAATTATCATAACAGCGTTATTTTTAGCTCCACTCACCAGCATAACAAGGGGTGTAATGAAGGTCCAGCAGGTCCTCATAATGATGCCTGGCCTCCTCCCAATCATCATCTCTATGTCATCACTGAACCTGTCCACCCCTGTAGATGCAATACAAAAATATGAGGAGTCTATAATTTCACAAAAGTTTACCGTGACACCAGGCCCACACCTAGAAAATTATGGGCCCCAGGCAGCTGTCAGAGTTTGGGCCCCTTTCATGTTTCAAACATGTGCAAATATTTTACAGCTCGAAAAAGGGCGGGCCCCTATCTATTTTGGGGCCCTGATAAGTGCCCCCGTGCGGGTCTAGTGACACAAACACCAGATGACAATTAATAATTGCATTCAGAATACTTTCTTACATTCAAACAGAACAGGAGAGAAATAAAAAAAAGATGCTTTTTGTATATTTGTTTAAAAACTAATAAATGCATATGTTGTAAATATGCTAATTCTAGATCAAACATTACGTCATTGAATTTTGTTCTTCCAAATGATATAAACACACCTTTTCAATTTTTTTTTAAAACATAATTTCTTAAAACTTCATAAAATAAACACATCCTGACCACTTTTGGGTTACTAGACTTACCATAGATCCATCCAATGACAATGCACTCTATCAAGGATGTAATCATCACACAGAAAGCTGCCACAAACCAGTCCAGCAGTGTAAAAACATAAATGCCACCCTGTAGCCAATAAAATTGTGATCAGCATATTAATATTGCAATGATAGGCCAGGATACATCATCTAAACATAACAGCTTTTTAATGAATGTATTCACTGCTTGGAAAAAATAACTTTCCGATGGTAAACTGAGGCACAGTTGTTGCAAGGACACATCCTTGTCATTTCGGTAAGTAGTATAGACCAACATTTCAATATTTCTGAGACAATTTGATGTTTATGCTAGCTACATGTTTCCCATAGTTTTTTTTTGTTGTTTCTTTAAATATATTTTCAAATCTTTGATACACGATGCAAAAAAAAATAAAATTTTGAAAGTTCCTCTACATTAACTGTAATGATTTTATGCTATAATTGGATGGTTATTTTAAAGGGGTTGTCACCACAGCTCGCTCACCCCCCTTCCACCCCCCCCTCCAATCCACACAAAAAAAATCATCCCGCGCACCAGTAATATGGTTAAAGTTGTATTTCTTTATGTGTATGTGATAACTCACCGCAGTGGCTATGGGCAGTGACAGACAATAGCTTATCATGGCCAAGCCAAATGTCAGCCAGATGCGTTTCTTCCTCAGCTGTTTAGGGAAAGCATCAATCAAACCGGCCACAACTGTCTCAAACATACCAAACTGAGAATAGTGAACATGGGGGTGAAATCTCTTGGGAACTTTTATTAAAAATGCATCAGAAAATGAATAAAAGAATATTAAACTATGAACATCTGAATGCAGAGATTTCACTCGAATCTTAATCTGGATAAAAGGTTAAATTTTTTTTAAAATTCACTTCCACCCTTTTATTTATGTAACAGCTTATCATAAACAAAAACTTAACTTACCTGACTGTCCAATCCTAAAGACAGGAGCATTATGAAAAATAGAACTGACCAGATCTGAGGGACGGGCAGTTTGGAGATAGCTTCTGGGTATGCAACCAGTGCAAGACCAGGACCTAAGAGGAAATGGATCAAAAAGATAATAACCAGCAATTTAAAATTTATACAATTTTAAGATGAACAAATTGAGTGAAGTTGGAAATGTTTATCATAACAATATATGCATTACGGTATTAAAAAAAATCAGGAAATTAGTGTCTGGTTTCAAAAAGGCAGGTCACTATGAAGTCGGGACCCCCTTGGGGGTCAAACAACCCCTTCCCAAGGGTCGCCTAAGACAAGTGGAAAATAGATATACTCTACTGTTATCAAGTAGCATCGAAAATAATTTAGTGGTTGGGGGGTCACCACAACATAAGGACCTAAAGTATGTGTCGCGGCATTAGGAAGGTTGAGAACCACTGCTATAGAAGGTTAGTTGCCAGAATGAATTCTAATGATCCCAGTGCTACATGACATTGGTAGTGTTCCCTGGCTAAATGAAAATTATCTAAACCTCTAGTTAGAGAGTAGGTTGGAAGTTCTAGCCACTAGTTTAGCTCAACAGTATTCTCAACCAGTTTCTTCAGTGACAGTGGAACTCACCTTGTGTAGACACATCTGTGACAATGGAACTCACCTTGTGTAGACACATCTGTGACAATGGAACTCACCTTGTGTAGTAGACACATCTGTGATAATGGAACTCACCTTGTGTAGACACATCTGTGACAATGGAACTCACCTTGTGTAGACACATCTGTGACAATGGAACTCACCTTGTGTAGTAGACACATCTGTGATAATGGAACTCACCTTGTGTAGACACATCTGTGATAATGGAGCTCACCTTGTGTAGCCACTTCTGTGACAATGGAACTCACCTTGTGTAGCCACTTCTGTGACGCTGACATTAGACTCCTTGGCCATGAAGCCCACAACAGCAAAAATGACAAAACCGCCATAGAAACTGGTGAGACCATCTGCTAGAGAAGCTATCAGTACATCTCTGGGGAATCATAAAAAAACCAAATGTAATGACTCTGTATTCTCTTTAATATTTTTTTTTTTTATTTCACAAATTATTTAATTTTTTTGGTTAAAAATTCCTTTGGCATCCATCCATTGCAGTTTGATGATGGGGAAGACTTCAAAGGATGAAATCGCAAAGCCTGGAATTTTTCTTTCAGGAGGATACGTTGGTTCCCTGGACAGGGAATCACCTCACTCCCCATCATGTGCGGATGATACAGCTTGGCACCAGTGGCAAGAGAACATCGTATGTGGATGATACAGCTTGGCACCAGTGGCAAGGGAACATCGTGTGTGGATGATACAGCTTGGCACCAGTGGCAAGGGAACATCGTATGTGGATGATACAGCTTGGCACCAGTGGCAAGGGAACATCGTGTGTGGATGATACAGCTTGGCACCAGTGGCAAGGGAACATCACGTGTGGATGATACAGCTTGGCACCAGTGGCAAGGTAACATCGTGTGTGGATGATACAGCTTGGCACCAGTGGCATCGCAGAACTTGGGAATTTTTATCTTGTCAATGTCATACCACCTAAGAGACCCACCCCATCTCCGGTTTGAATTCAGGGTTTTCCTTCTCAAAGATGAGTTGCCGCCCAAGATTAACAGCGTGCTGGTGATGTGTAAGCTCATCTAGACTTTTGTTGGGGATTGAACTCCAATCCACAAGCTTGGCATCGATTCAGTTTAGACCACTCAGCCATCCAGCCACACATTATATGCCAAAGAATGAGAAGCCATATAACTCTATACCCGCAATAGGTATGGCTCTAAGATTTTGGTAGTAGTAGATAGTGCGTTAAGATTTGGTAGTAGTAGATACTTCACAAAGATATTAGAGTAGTAGATATGGCACAAAGATTTTTATAGTAGTAGATACTGGACAAAGATTTTGTAGAAGTAGATATTAAACTAAGATTTTGAAGTAGCAGAAACTGCACTAAGATTTTGTAGTAGCAGATATTGAACTAAGATTTTGTAGTGGTAGCTACTGCACTAAGATCTTGTAGTAGTGAAATACCCTCAAACATGAGGTAAGGAAAAAAAACACATATCTCCAACTTTAGAAATAAAACCATTTGTTGTGAAAGCATTTTTTTACCGTGGTGCAGTGCAACTTTCAGTGTAAAAGGTCATTTTATTTTGTTATTGCCTGAATTTATTTATTTTTTTTAAATTACATGTGATATGCTGACTGGCTATTTGAAAGGAACATGTTTTGCATTTATTTCATCCCCCTAGTTAACCATAATTTTTTTACAAGTTAAATGATGACTTAATGAAAGCTGACTGACTGGCTATTTGAATGGAACATGTTTTTTTTATGTATTTTATCCCCCTATTGAACCAAACATTTCTTTTTTTTTTTTCAAGAGACACTAACAATTAAACAAAGAAATCTATCGTTACGTTAAGAAAGTAAGACCAACAATTAAACAAAGAAATCTATCATTACGCCAAGAAAGTTAGTTATTTAAGTACCTGAAACATTGGTTGTGAAACTTGTTGAAACTAGCCATTGTGATGAGTCCCCCCCAGGCTGGCCCCAGTGAATAAAATACCTGCACGCAGGCTTCAATCCACACCTGAAACAAAATATTACAGACATATAAGCCGGATAAAATATGGTGCACGGATTAACAATCAGTCGAATTCCAGATTGCTAAATCAGTGGCAACAGTTTGCAGTTTACCCCACCTCCAAGTCTGTGAACAAAACTATACTTACGGTGAGGCTCAAGAGTTTTTCAAAATCTGGCTTGATGTAGAATATGATCCCATCCACCGCTCCAGGCAACATGCATCCACGTATAAGAAATACAGTTAATAAGACATACGGCAGAAGAGCTGTCACGTAGACAACCTGTCGATGATAAAGTTAATATTTCCCTGCTCTTACTTTGTATTTTTTAAAGTTTAAAATGAAATTTTTTCAATATGGGTGATCAGAACATGAAGAAGAAAGCATCTGATTTTTAGGTAAAATTAAAAAAGCTGTATTTGTTGGCTTTATTTCAACTTTAAGTTCAAAATTTACTTGCTCTTTTGCCTTTCTTTAAAGCAAGATTAATTATTGCATGACAAATGTCCAAAAACGTAGCTTCACTTATAATCCTGATGTACACCATGCACACATTCCTTATAATCCTGAACTACACCATGCGACCCATTCTTATAATCCTGAAGTACACCATGCATGTCATTCTTATAATCTGAACTTCTTTGAACTTTACCCTTGCATTTGCTACTAACTTCAAAACCCTGCAATTCTCCCAACAAAATTATGAATTTTCAGATGGACCTACACAAGCCGAAAGTCTACATTGGGTATTATGAGGACATAGGGCAATATTCCATATTAACATTGGTTTTCACATCAAGATCATTAAATAAAACTAATAAAACTAATAGTAAAGAAGACTGACCAACAGTACGAATGTATAATTTAAAAAAAAATTTAAATAGCTAAAGACATTTTCTGAATTGAAAAATTGAATAATTAATAAACTCAAGCAGACATGAGGAGAAAATAATTACAAACCTTTCCTAAAGATTTAACCCCTTTGATGAGACACAGACACACTAAAATCCAAGCAGCCAATAGACACATTGCACTGTGGACCTGAAGATCTCCGAGCTCTTCCAGCCCTGATGATTTCCTCAGAACATTGTACCTTGAAGAATCCATTTTTTAATGTATAGAATTATTCAATATTTTAAAATAATTTTTTTTTTTCAAATGTTCTTAAATACTTAATGTATAGCAGTGGTTCTTAACCTGGGTTCGATCGAACCCCAGGGGTTCGGTGAGTCAATCTCAGGGGTTCGGCCAAGGTCCAAAAAAAAAAAAAATCAGGAATAAAAACATATTTTATTTTCCCTATTAAGAAGGGTTCAGTGAATGCACATACGAAACTGGTGGGGTTCAGTACCTCCAAAAAGGTTAAGAACCACTGATTTTTAGCTTTTGAAGTAAAGACCCAAACAACAAATATTTTTAGCAACAGATTGAAAGTTATCAGCACTTTTTTGCACTTGTGGCAAACTTCCATTTTCTGAATACTTTGATGCACAACAATCTAACAACACATTACAAAAAAATTGATCACATTATAATCACATATATATATATTGCTTTAGTATGGCTTCATGGATCAAACTCAGGAGTGTATATTTCAAGACAATGATAAGGAAATATGAAAACGATTAGATATATTGTGATGTATCGCTTTTACTGACCATAAGCAATTTATGAATCCACCAACTGAAAGCACTTAATGAATGCACTAACTGTATGCACTTAATGTATGCACTAACTGTATGCACTTAATGTATGCATTAATTGTATGCACTTAATGTATGCACTTAATGTATGAACTTAATTTATGAACTTAATTTATGCATTATTAATTAATGTATGAACTTACTGCCAGAACTCTTCAGCAGCTGTCCTGAACTTGATGTTCTTGCCCAAACACTCACTGGAATTACCTATACACAGCTGATTTGCTGCACTGCTGTTGCCAAAAGCTGTACCATTCAGGCCTGTGGCGTTGACCTCAGGTTGCTGGACACCGACGTGGTCAATGCAGTACTCAGTGTTCCACCAGTGTCCGCAGTGCGCCCAGGGCAGGTCGGCGTAGAATGAGTTGATTAAGTAATAGATGACCCAGGAGAGCACAGCATTGTAGTAAATGCAGGCCATTCCTGAGACAATGACCATGCCGTAGCCTATACCTGGTGTGGACATAAAGGGGTCATTAGGGTTAAAACAACAATTTAACATGTATCAGTCTTGGAAAACAAGACAACATAAAGTGTTTTTATTCCAATCAATGTTCACCTAAATGTAATACTGTAATTCTTTTTTTTCAAGCAAATGTCTTATGTTCAAAAAAATTATTATTTTTTTTTATAAATCGAACAATGTTCACTAACCTTTAAACAAGGGACACAACTTCCATACAAACATTGAACTGATTCCAGAGAACTGACCGAGACAGACTTCCAAGTAAAACAGCGGTATACCACAGAGAGTCAGGAAGAAAAAAAACGGAATCAAAAATGCACCTGAAAAACAAAACATAAATTATTCATTTCTTGGCTGCTTGGAGCTAACTTTATTTTTGTTACAAAATGTGCACTTCTGTGTGCTATTATTTATATTTTCAATATATAACATAATTTTAAATCCTCGTTTGGGTTGAGATTCAATCTCTTATAGCCCTAGCTATTATTGTAGTGGCCTGCCTCATCTACTGGGCATTGCCGTAAATCATGTCTTCAAGGTAGGTCTCTGGGTCTCTGCCCTCCGCCCCCTTCCCAACACCGGGGCAGGCAACCACCAAATGGGCCACTGCCTGGTCACAAAATCGGCAGTTTGGTTCCCTCCTGTTGTCAAGTCCATAATATAGGAAGGCCAGATTTATTTATCAATTAATTAGGTATACCAGTTGTCATTATCAAGCTTCCCCGGCCTGAAGATACTGTTATCCATTTTAGCTTTGAAGGCTTGAGAGCCCATGGGATGGTTCTTTCATTGACCGGTCAATGGACTGTATGATGATAATCAGTGGTCTGTAGTTTATTAATTTTCAGTGAAACCAATGATGTCTGAATCAACTATTTTTTCAGTGACACCAATGATGTACCAATTTAAATATTTTTCAGTGACACCAATGATGGCCCCATCAATTATCTGGAAATAGACAGTGATCTGATTGTTTATTTCTCCCCCATCTTCTTATTCTGAAATTCCTGCAGGTTTTTCTTCTTCTCTATCTCACAATCAGGGAGGGAAGATATGATTCTCAGAGAGGCTGACCTGGCAAGTCTAACCAAGGTGCGTTTTCATCCAATTTTAATATTACCAGCTCCTTTGTTAGCAGGTCTTGTTGAGACTATCAAACTAACTACGACTATACCTAAATATACATAAATCGTCAATTCCTAGTTTATTAATTATTGAAAAGATGGCTGAACAATATGCGAGTTAATGAGCAGTCAAAGATTTTTTTTACAAAATTACCATAAAGATATTGATGTCAAGTAGAAAGACCTTAGTTTAACTTCTAGTAAGCTCGATTTTGCCTAAAAATGTGCAGCTTTTGTTTCACTGGAAAATTCAAATTTAATTCAAATCACTATTGCCATCATGAAGGAATTTATGCATACCAATTTAGCATTGAAATTTGTACTTAATCAAGGTCATCATGTTACATGAATCAAATGTATTAAGTTTGAAAGAGCTCATCTAAACAAATGAACACGCTATATGTTAAGTGACTTACCGCCCCCATTTCTGAGTGTCAGGTATGGAAATCTCCATAAGTTGCTGACCCCGACAGCGTAACCTATCAGGGACAGGATAAAGTCAAGGCCGCGGGACCACTGCTCTCTTTCTTCTTCCTCCTCTTCTTTCACCCCGCTGGACAAAATCTGCCCAGCCTCTTGTGCTTTGAGACCATTTACATGAGAGGGTATAAACACAGTCATCTCCCCCAACTGGTCCACACTCTGTTACAACGAGAATGAAATACGATTGGTTCATTTCTCATTGGTGATGGGACAGAAGACTTAGTATATGCTTCCATCTACTTTATCATTCTGGACCCAGAGTTAGGCATACAAAATATATTTGGATTTAATTTTTATGTTTCAGTCATTATACTCCTATACTCACTGTTTATGGTGAAAACAAATATTCCTTTAACTAACAGGGGGTGGGGGGACAGTGCAATCAAGTATGAGATTCCATGTGCTTACGGTTGTATTTGTGTGATGATGCCATAAAATTGTTTTTTTATTGTTCCTCTTTCAGTAACTTATATCACCCCTCCCCCTTTTGAATCTGCCAATGCCTTTTTGTCTCATGCATCAATATTCATTTCTTTCCAACGTTGTTTAAGGGAATTAAGACACATTTGTTTTTAATTAACTTCTAAATAATTGGGGTCATTTTTATATAAACAGCTATGCAGGAAGCCCATTGTCTAATGAAACTCTAAAATAAAAGTTTGTATAATTTCATAATTATGTCTCACGGCTGGGGTACCGCGCTATATAAGACGTCTTATTATTATTATTATCTAATTGAAAATTGAAACTCATAATTGACCTGCTAACCATCTGTCACAGGCAGCCGTGTCGCCAAAGGTAGCATTAAATGATCGGGTTACAGAAAGTTGGCAGTGTGCTATGAATTACCTTTCCCATGCAATTAAAGTGTGATTGGATTACTTATACTAAAAAAAATACACACTGCATATTGGTAAGGACAAAATTAATTTTTTTAAATGATGCTGTAAGTCAGCATTAACCAAGTAGACAATGCAAAAAAAGAAAAGAAAATGATAAGCTTACCACTTACTGATCTCTTACCAGCTGGTCTCAATCAATCAATCAATCAATAACCTTTTTTTTTTATTTTTTTTTAAATTATATTTTATTTTAAACTTTTATTTATTTCTATTTAGAATCTAGTTGATTTTTTTAAAAATCAAAAACCAATAAAAACAAATTGACATTTTTTAAAGTGTTGTAGGGCAAGATAAGCATTTGACATACTCATGGTACTGAATGGGATCTTTATGGACAACAATATGTGTTACAGGCATGGAAGGTTGACTCTTCATGTCATCATCACCCCCTCCCCCTTTTTTTTCCCTCAAAAGTTGTTATTTATGTTGGGTTATGTGTTAGTCCTCTAGCCTGTATCTTCTGCCTAAAAAATTATAGAAGTAAAAGTATACAAATATTGCAGCAAAGAGAATGCAAACTACTAACGGCCAGATTTAATGTCACACTAGGCTTAGGTATTTTTGGTTCTGTTTCAAAGCCTCCATGTGTTTGTTAATCACCATGCTACTAACTTCATTTAACTTTATGCATTGCTTAAAAAAAAAAAAAAAAATTGGCAGTGGTGAAGAGGAACCAGATGGTAACCCAATCTGGCAGTAGTGAAGACGAGCCAGGTGATAACTCAATAAGGCAGCAGTGAAGAGGAGCAAGTGAGAAACAGAGTGTCCATCACGTCAGCAGAGATAAACAAAACTTAGGATGTCAGAAGGGACTCAAAGAGATAACAAACTTCCACGTTGGGGACAGCACTGAAAAACACTGTGGTCTATCCAATTTTAAAAGCTTTTCAATGACAGGAAAAAAATCTGCTAAACCATGAAAAAATTTTTTTTAAAGAGGACACAAGATTCTATATTGGGTGATTTTTTTATCAGAGGAATATTTTTTAAGTTTCAAGTTGTTGAAGTGCAAGATATCACTGAGTCAGCCCAAGACTATGTTCTAATCTCAACACCTGCCACTTCTAAGGACTCTTTCCCCCAACACTTACCTCTTTCAATCTCTGTAACCTAATGTTAAGGTTGTACAAGAACACCATGGCTAAAACTTGCTTTATTATTATAGATTTTTATATATGTTTGTACCCACAGGGACTGTAATTAATATGAATGATTAAAAAAAAACAACCCTTTGTCACATTCACCTAAGGATCGCAGGAATTTCCTGGGGTTTCATTGTCATGGGTGCTTAAAATTTTAAGTAGTTTTTATTTTCACTTGTGGAGGTGTGGCTGGGGATTGCAGGTCTTAGATAATTGGTGATTGTGGCTGAGATTTCAAAAGGGTTGGGAACCACTGAAATAGGCCAATCAGTGTGCGAGAAAAAAAAATGATTTAATCTGTAACACCCTGTCAAAATATAGCTTACATTATTTCCAACGTCTGAACTTTAAATTCATGATAGGTCATTTGGACCCAGTTGCTGGTTTCACTTTTGCACATGGTGCTTCGCATTGTAAACTTACCGTGTCAGTTCTCTCCATTCCCCCAGGGATTAGTAAGTCACGTGGTTGGTCCAGTTTGGCTGTTTTAAGAGAATGGTTTTAGACTAGGTCATTCAAGTTAACAGCCTGACCTGAAGGAAAATGTTTTAAGAAAAAAAAAACAGAAATTAATTACAAAAAAAATGTGCTGGTGTTGACAAAACGAAGCATACTATTTTTAGCATGATGATTATTTACTTACGTTAATTGGTTGCACTAATTTTAAGCAAGTGAGTTTAGAAAGAAGTATAAAGCTAAAGGGTCACTTTAAACCTAAGTGTCTGATAATCATTTACTCTGTACCTATCAGCTTATTTGTCTAAAGATATCGTTTAATGCTGAATCAGTTTTAGCTATGCTACTTTTTTCACTGAAAATATTAGTTAGAGCGCTGCACAAAGACAAAAGTATATTGAAACTGTCGTGATTTTTTTCTTCAAATATTACATTCCACTCTGTTTATTTCAAACTAAAATAAATATGGTAGAAGAAGAATTTGTTTAAATAGTTGAAGCCTTTAAAATTTTTAAAAAGTGATGTAAGACTCATGTTGACTGTTGAATAGTTATAAAATATGAGAGACACTACAAGTTCCCAATATGGTTAAGTAATTTAGTGGTGAAATGTTTTGGTAAAATAAAAAATAATATACCAGTGTAAATATATCATTTTTGAACAGGCTATTATTCTCTAGACCAGTGGTTTCTCAAACTCTTTGAAAACTGTATTTCTTAAATCAACTGCTCATATGCATGTCCTAACGTGGGCATTTGTCATATTTTTTAACTTTTTAACGCACTGAATTTCTATATGTGTTGTCATTTCATCACTTTGTACCACCTGGAATGAAGTAATATGATTCTATTGGTACATTTGAAAAATGAATTCTCCAGATAAATGTGATGGAAAAGCAATTGTATCATCATTTTAATGAAGGTATCTCAAACTTATTTTGAATATTTAATGACATAAAAGTGTTAAATGTTATAAACACAGATTTAGCATTAAGAGGGTGGAATGGAGAAAAACTGTTTAAAAGGCAGGAAAATGCACACAAAAAAAGCACAGAAAGAGATAAGTAAATGGGCAGGCTAATATTAAATAGGATAAGGAAAAGAGATGTTGACAAAGATGTAACAAAGACAGGAAAGAGTTAGAGAGCATAGCTAGATACCAGAGGCTTGGAAGAAATTGTGGGTGTTAATGGCCTATGCTCCACCAGGTTTTTAAAAGCCAAAGAAGAAAAATTATTAAAGATAAATAAATTTCATTATGATAACATAGCAATAAAAAGAGACGATCATGTCATTATTAGATCACTGTTAGAAATTACAGCAATTATGCCTGCACAACTCCAATAACAATGAACTAACTTGGGTCTTCCAACATAAACTGGATTTGTGCACAGTATTCAGTTGGATAATTTCATTTTCACACTTTTAATTAGTGACAAGTGGATTTGTTATCACACAAATAATATATCCTTCAGCTTATTTAGAATATAAACTTATGTGCTCTAAATATATTTTTAATATTCGATCTTGTTAGTATATTAAGCCTAACTTTAGTAAGGTTAGAAAATAAAACGGTCATAATATTAAACTACATATGTCACAGGTGTAAGAACAACTACAGAAAAAAAATATAAGTTTATGAGTATATAATATATAGGTATGGACATTTTTAATGTCCTTTAGAGCAGGCCTGCACCACATACGGAACACCAGCACCCACTTTGCGGCCCGTGAAGTAACAAACTATTCTTTATTCTTATTATTTGCTTGATAGCTTCCCCCCCCCCTTCCTATTTTCTTTTGGGCCGCACAAGTTTTTCATAAAGTGTTACGGCCCGCCTTACATTTTAAGTTGTGCAGGCCTGCTTTAGAGTAATTGAGTATGACCAAAGCACAATGGAGAAGGTTTTGAATTAGTGGAAATGGCTATGAGTAATAGTTGAGACTATTTTAAGATATTAGTATTATTTGTAATAAAATATTTAAATGTATTATACAAATATATTATCTTCTTCTTCTTTATTTTAAGGGCCCACGATCAATGAATTGATCATTCTGGCTCCTATGTTTCAGAGGGGTTTGCGATGTTACTGTCCATGGGTTTCAATGGGATACTTCACTGGTTGCAAGGGCGACTCAGCAGTGGTGTTATGAAATACAGGAGGCAATAGACACAAATGTATCGAGTGTAGCCGCCTCAACTGTTGCTTTTGGAAGCTTGTTCCAGTCCCCTATTGTCTTCGGCAGGAATGAGGAGCTTCTGTACTTTGTTCTTGTTTTTACCAGCCGGAACTGTTTGTCGTGGCTTCGTCGCAGTCTGGGGGGAAGATGAACGAGTTTCTGTTCGATTCCGGAGCAGTGCACCAGCCCATTTGTTATCTTGTACAACATGGTGAGCCTGGATAGACGTCGTCGTTCTTCCAATGTCGACCAGCCCAGTGTTTCCAGCATGCTACCAACACTCGAGGTGCTTCTGTAGCGGTTCATGACAAAGCGCGCTGCCCATTGCTGGACCGCCTCCAACCTGTCGATGCTTTTCTGGGCAAATGGGTCCCAGACTGTAGAAGCGTACTCTAAAATAGGTCGGACAAAGGCTTTATAGGTTTTTTCTTTCACGCTTGAGTTGCCGATCTTCAGATTGCGCCTTAGGAACCCCAGGGTCTTGTTTGCCCAGTTGCACACACTGTTAATGTGCTCGTCCCAGCAGACCTCTCTTTGGCTTCTAGAGACTGACAGGGTCTGGCACTTGACGGGATGAAGCCCATTTTAAAATTATACTTTGAAAATAAAAGGTCTCCTGTTAAACTAACCACAGTTTTTCTTTCCCTGCCTAAATGAACACTAATGATGTTACAATGTAAAAATATTCAATACCTAATAAAGTTGTTTATAATTTAAAAATTGAACATGATAAGCCGCTCATTTAGGCCTTGTATTATATTATATATCAAGGCTAAAACTAAAATTTAGGCTCAATTATAATAATGGCCAAAAATGGATGTAAAATTTTGGAGCCCATCTACTACTAAGTCTAAGTAACAATACTAGTTTTAGTTTTATTAGTTACTAGCCAATATACCCGACGTGGCACGCGATTGCATTCGGAAAAACAACCACTTCTAAAGCCTTTTAATTAACATTAAAATTAAGCCCCATGTAAGAAAAAAAAACAACAACACCCTTATTGTAAAAAAGTAAATAATTCCTTTGTCACCTATAAAAACACATTTTTAATAACTTTTGTAAATCTTTCGTTTCCCAATGGGATCCCGATCCCAGAGAGATCCCATTCAGATCTCATTTTCCAATATCTCTTTTCCAATGTATCCCTATACCCGGAGGGATCCAAACCCCGTTGGGATCCCCATCCCGGTTTGATCACAATCCTGGTTGGGATCCATATTCCATCTGTATCCTGATCCCGGTGTGATCCCAATCTCGGTGAGATCCTGATCCCTGTGGTATCCCAAACCCGGTAGGATCGAGTTTACCAGTGGGATTCTCTTCTCTGATGGGATCCAGTTTCCCAATAGGATCCCCATTTGATCTCATTATCCAATGGGATCGCATTATCAGTGAACTCAGTTTACTGTTGGATCTCATTAACTTTCAGTAAGCTTTTAGATCCCAGTAAATAACCCCAAAGAAAAATATAGAAATATCTGGAACATTCTAGATATTAAATTTAATCTCCACATTGAAAAGTGTAGACAATAATTTTCTACGTAATTATTTTTCGGACTCAAAAAAATTATACAACTAAATGTACTGCTATAACTATATTACATTTAAGTTGAAATAGGGGCCCCTTCCATAACTGTACCGATTTAGTTTTGCCTGAGATGGACGGGGGGGGGGTGGGGGGTTATTAAAAAAAATTCAGATAAATAATAAAGTTATAATTTAAAATTTGTCCCATTAAAATCAGTTTAAAAGGGCCATAGATATAACTTTTTTAAATCATCAAACTTTCTAGAAAATTCTAGATCGGCCCTGAATGGATTGGATATTATTAGTTTTAAATCCACCATATTTCTATACGAACATTGAAGGCTATTGCTACCAAGCTAGTTCTATATCCATCAATTTACATAGAACCTATAGCATTGTCTATGCCTATTTATATTATATAAGGAAAAAATTAAATGGAGCCCCGGCCCTAGAGGAATGGATATTATGAGTTCAGTACCCTTCGGTATTTGAATTTGGATAATCAAGTGTATGTGAACTATGTTTGGTCAAGATACATCTATTCATGTAGGAGTTTTGGTTGATAATTTTATTTAGATATAGCTCATATAAGAAAAAATGGAATTCGGGGCCCCCGGCTCCAAAAGGGATATTTTTAAAAGTTCAAAACCCCCCAGTATTTGATTCTGGATAATGATGGATATATGTGCCAAGTTTGGTCAATCCAATGTACAAACATATGTGAACAAAGCCACAAACATTCACTTTTATATATTATATAGGCCTAAATATAATATTATAATATATGATTTAATATTATTAGTAGTCAATAATTTGTAATAGGCTTACATACCTTACTTACTTTAACTTACTTAAGCATTCATTAGGCCTACTATTTACTTAGGCATCAGGCCTACAAAACTAAGTTTAATTTAAGGTAGGAATCATTTTTTACGTTATTAATTTCTTAAGTCTTATGCCTATGCCTTCTTAATCTTTACTTGAGCAAGACAAGATGTTCAATCATAATTTTATTTTAGTTCAAATTCAAAACATTTTCTTACCCTTTTATTTACAATTTACAATATATTTCTGTGGACATCACTGTCATGTGCCGATGCTGAACAACGGGTCCAAAGTCCAAACTAGATTGTGTAGTGTAATATCACGATTTCTAATTATAAGCCTCCATTTTTCAATAACACAAAATGTGAATTGAAATGACTTCAGCACGCTTAGGACGAAGACATTCTTAAATTAGTTGTTCTTGGTAGCATCATACTTTTTAATTAATTAAGGTTTACCTGTGTCTGTCTCAAATGACTGTCCATTAATGTGGTCAACTGCGGCTAGACATGGCTTCGCTTTTTAACTTTATGAGATCTACTTTAGTTTTAGGTTGCGCGGTGTTAGCACTGTTATCTGCCTCGATCGATCGATCACCACCATAAACAAAACAAAGGTAAGAGTAAAAAAGAGTCACCGCCCTTACTTTAACAAAAAAAAAATATTAAAAGCCAGTAGGTATTTGACCAGCAATTAATGGTCCAAAATCGTTCTTACTTATGTCTCCAATTCGTTTCCATAAGACACTTAAGAATGTTTTGTGACTTTATTATATTATTAATTTTCAAACTGTTTTGTGACTTTATTATATTATTAATTTTCAAACTACTTCATGTCTGATACAGCTCATTTGGTGGATATCTTTTCGTTTCTCTTTTACTTTATTATTTAGTCTCTTATTATCTTTTTTTGCCCTTGTCTTGTCTTCTCCCATTAACCAACTCATTCATCATTTGTTTAATTAAAACTACATCATACCTTTTGCAAAAACCAACATTAATACATTTTCATTCACATATTTATTTTTTATATAATCTGCAATGGGGGCAAAAACTACTTGGCAATCTTCCTCACTCAAAATTTAATTTTTCAGTGCATCTTAAATACAAAATACAAAATACAAATCAAAAGCAATTTGATTCATTTTATTGGTTATCTCCCATATATAACAAGCATGCCAATACAATATTTATATATTTGTGAGTGCTTAAAACCTTAATTGCACTTCACTTAATGTATTCTCACCCCAAACCAAAAAACATGATAAACCAGCCAAAAATGAAAGCATTAAAAATTTCAAACACTATATATGCATACCTGCATTCAGCATAGACAAAAATAGTCAGCCATCATTCCTGGCAATAATTTTTCTATTTACAGCACAGTTAACTATTTTAAAACTCACAAAGAAAGATGCTTGGAAAGATGCAATGGCACATTTTAAGAAACGACTTCATTATACGAAACCTGTTATATACAGTCATATACAACTGGATAAAACATCTGTGAACATTTCTATAAACGCAAAACGAATTGTTAGAAAAGTATTCCTTTATTATTACTTCAAAAGCTGATTATAATTTTACTTTTAAAATTTTGACAATGTGTTTCAGCTATTTTTTTTGGGTCTAATTCTATAACTAAAAACAATTCAGCAAAGACTAGTCATTGAAGAACAATAAATTATACTGATAACCATTTATGAAATAATCCCCCAGCTGTTTTTTTTTTTCTTCTTTTTTGTTGAATATATAACATAAATGTTTTTTAACCAATAGAATCGCCTGAATAATTTATTTGCATAAACTAACTAGTCAACAACATTGTGAAGCATTACAGCTGAATGCCTCGCATGTAGCTGATTGTGTGAGACACCCGCTGAGGCAGAATTTCAGCGGTGTCAGCGTACTGATCCGGCTTGACTTGCAGCAGTGTGCGGATGTTGTTTAAGGTTTCAGAGGCCCTCAGGCCCAAGTCCTCGAGCACATTGCACAAATAATCTGGCAACATTAATTAAAGACAAAAGGATTAGATAAAAATCAAATTTATTTAATGTTTTAATGACAACCAATAAAAAAATTATTATTATATGAATTTGTATAATTTTATAACAGTTTTCAATTTAAAAATTATCTGTGTATTTAGATTCTGTTTTTTTTTCCAATTTAAAATTGGAAAGGAAAATCTAAGAACGATTGTTTATTTGAATAGCTTTATAATTCAAAGTGCTATATGGAGCAGTATCTGCATTTTTAACATAAATAAAGTTTATTTAAAAAACTGCATATAATGCATAAATTAGGTTTATGCAAATATAAAAATATGGCTATAACATTATCTACATGGTTTAATATAAAAAAAATAGCTATTGTATAATTCATCTACTGAGGTGTTAAAATTCCTAAGGAGCTGCATGCTGTTTGAGCTTTTGTGATAGAATTTTAAAAGATTTCTTATCATATTCATTTAGGATAGTTAATAAAATGTAACGATATAAATCAATTAGATGTGAGTTAATACAACTGAACCAGCAGTCCCCATACCTATATCTGTGATCAGCTGTTTACATCCGTGGGGGGTCACCTGTGGTATCTTGAGAATCTCCTCTGTGTAAGTGTGCATGGTTCCCATGGCAACAGACTCCAGCCACAAGTCTGCCAGATGCTCAGGCACTTCAGCTGGACAGGAAAAATTTGAAAGATCAAAAGGTGTGGCGTGAAAATATCTTTAAAACATTGATCTCCTGCAGCTTATCAGCACTAAATTAGATTTTATACCTTGATGATTAGTGAATGGAAGTCTGCCATGCTTCAGGGCCACTGTTAGGGCTGGGCTGTCTTGTAAGGTGAACGGGTCCAAATGCTGTGGCAGTGTCATTAGGTACTGACCCACCTAAAAAAACAAATTAAGTGGTATTACGAGACACGGGGATATTCAATGATGTTAAATTAGATAGAAACAGGTAGATCAACATAAAAAAAAGGTGTCAAATGACATTCAGGCATGAGAATATGATTTAAATTAAGTGCAGATGATGAGGCTATTATATATTTTTGTATATAACGATAGATGACATGCCAAAGAAATACAATGAGCAGACCTTTGTGATGTACTCTTGGGGGGACAGGCTGAAAGTAGGGAGGTCAGATGTCATAGCTCCACCAGCACTCTGGGAGGTCCAGATCTGGCAGAAAGAATAATAGCAGGATGATAACAGGATAATAACAGTTTAACTTTTCTCTTCATACAATCTTATGACATTATTTTTCATTAAATTCATTTTTCACACAGGGGGAAAGATTTATTTGGTCAGACTATGATTTACCTCCATTGAAGAAACACTGCTGAGATATGTCTTCAGCTGACTAAAGACTATGTCAAATGCAAACTTATGGACCTCCCCACTCAATTTGCTCAGGTCATTGAGGATCTCACCAAACACTGGAGGACTTTCACCTTTAGGAAATTACAAGACAAACTTCAAATTTTGCTTTCCACACAAGTTTCCAATGCGGTGTCTTGAACTTTTTACATATAATAAATAAAGTGATAATCACTTTATGGTCTATGATTTAAAAAGTATGATTATAAAAATTATATTATAAGCACAAAGATTGTGGTTTTTTTAACTGAACTTAATTTTTTCAAAATATATCTTTTAAATTTTTGCATGAGTGTTAAAGAAATTATAGTTCTTGTGTGTGAGGAATATCAGACAGGCTTGATTGATGATGCCTAATCACACATTTAGCTAAATATTTTTGGTCTTGTCCAGCCAACTTTAAAAAAAAAAAATCATTAATGTATTCTAGAGAGATGTATTGTTGTAAGGTATTATAAGACTATGACAAGCATAGCCATCAACTCTTACAGATTTATTTCAGGCTTCTCTGAGTGGCTATTTTGATGAATATAAAGTACTCTTTCAAATCTTCATGATAAAATCAGATAACAAACAAAAAAATGAATTTTTTTAAAAGAAGGACACCAACCATCTTCAAGTTTGTGTACCACGGCCTCAATGGCTTCAACTTCATTGTGAGAGCTTAGGAAAATGGAGGCTTGGAACTGGAATGTGTGTGATGCTGACACAACTCTGGTGGGTTAACATAAAAAAAATCCTTACATGTTATTATTGTACATAGAAGATATCGCTATTTATTCAATAAATCAACCACAGTTTCATCAAAAAGCCTTCCCCACTATTTTCTCAAACAAGTCTTATCTACTTTTCTATCTACAATTTAATGACACTATTTTATCACCAAGTCAAATCAACCCCCCCCCCCATTGCATCACTATTGAGTCAATAGCTCTACAACTTATGTTTAAATGGATAACTGATAAACACAGAACTTTAGACTTTGTCATTGGGTGAAAACACAATAGTGCCTTGTTAAGGTACATACAAACTAATGGCTTCTTTGACTGGTGAATGACATGTGACCAGGTGACCTAGGCTGTGAAGTACACTGCTGGACACTACAGCATCCAGGTCCTCTGTTTGCATCAGGAGATTACCTGATGAAGATAATCTTAATCATATCATTGATAAGCCTGAATACTGTATTGGAGCTACAAAATAAAAACAATAAGAAATATTTGTATGAATAAAATATCCAAACTACATGATTTTACTAAGGGTGGGTTGAATTTTGCTTTCTTAAAGCTGTTTTAAATTAAATAAATGTATGTAACTTTTTAATGTCATATTTATTTTTTGCCAATATTTTTATGTTATGCACTGTGAGCCCAGCCCTATGATGGGGTACTGGGCTATATAAGACAACTGTAATAATAATAATTTTACTAAAGATGCAATTATCAGATAGAAATTAATAACCATATATTTAGAGGAGTAAATATCTGCTGCACTTACTGAAAATAATCCATATGTAATCCTACGTGGCTGAAAGAATCTTATCATTTTATTTCTTTGAGATAACTTACATAAAAATTGTGAGTGAACTAACAGCAAATTTACCATCAATTATTATCGGATTAAATTAAACGTACAAGCTTACCGCAAGTTTGGACGATCCTCAGAGAATTTTGAAAATCAGACCAGTCTTCAGAGTCTGCTTTTGAACCAGTGCGACATTTTTCTCTGATGTTGATGAGCACTCGTCTGAATTCTCTTGTGTAGGCAGTAAAGTAGGTCTAGATAATTGATAAACAATTTTACTTACCAACAAAAAATATTACGAAAACTGCTTAGTGTTATAACTTATCTAAGTTGTTTTAAATTTAAAAAGGAGATTTTTGCTTATAAAGCCTAAGTAAAAAATGGCTTGTTCACAAACTAGTTAAAATGACTGGTTCACAAGCTAGTTTAAAATAATGAATTGGTCCCAATCTGTAGTTAAAATGACTTGTGCAAAAACTAGTTAAAAATGACATGTTCATGAACTAGTTAAAATGAATTGGTCACAAACTGAAGTTAAAATGACTTGCCTTATAGGCATCCAACAAACCAAGGTAACAGAAACCATTGGTTAGTTGTTGACATCTCTCATTGGCCTTTTGACAACAACAACAAAACAAAAAAGAACAAAATTTAGCACTAAACATTTTAAAAAAAGATTTCTCATATCTAGATTTTATGGATATAGGTACATGTTAAAGATCTGTTGGTGTTTGCGGGTGACCTAGTTTGGTGCTGAGAGCATTTGTTTACCTGTTGCCATATGCTTTGTATTTTGTGACGTATTTGGGTATGGGAAATGACGTTGTCATGATTTCAGCAGCAGTGATGGAGTAGTTAGTAAGGGGGTGGTAGTAATGAAGATGTTTATTTAATAAAGAGACATTTTGTCATTGAATCATTGGTTTGTTAAATAATTAAATTACCCTAGACAACCAAGCTATTGAACTGTTCGTAATGGTACACTTTCCTGCTATCTAAATTAGATTAAGTGTACATTTATGTTTTTTTATTGGTTGACCAAGTGTCTCGTTTGTATAAGAGCCTATGAAATATTACCAAAGAAATCAACTGCTGGAATGTAACGTATAATATATAACTTGTAAGAATTGATGTAGACAAGTGGTCTTTGAAGCTTCACCAGGATGAAATTTGTGCATCTCAAACAAAACATACCTAATTTATAAAGATTTATTTACGCCTCATGTTGAATTCATTTTGTTCTGTTATCAAAATAGATTGACAGCTTAATGAGTGCAGCACACAAATACAACATGATCATTCAAACTTACTGCTATGGCAGCTGAGAAAAGTTTGGTCACAGACTCTGAGAGAAGTTGAACTGTGTCAATGACCTCTTCATGATCCTGTTCCAGGAACACAAGTAAAAAATTTAACGTCACAAATACATTTACTTTCCATGTTGAAGCTGCTGAGTTATTGTTTTTTTTATTAAACATTGTTGTAAATGATAACTTATTTTGATTTATCTCATTGTTTTGATTTACATTTTTTATCAGAATTTAAAAATAATTTTATCAAAATGTGTGTATAAAAATAAAAAAAAGTTAAAAAGTTAAAATTCACTGGAACAGTATTTAGCAAACAGCTTACCAGCTTGATTGTGTCCAGGTGTTTGGTTAATGCAACCTCTTCAAATATCCTATACTTGTTGGTATAAGACTGATATGGGCTGTAAATGGCTTTCAGGAGTTGTTGGAGGCTAATGGAATGTTCAAAACTTGAGCCTAAAAACAACAAATTAGGAATTTCAATGTTGGTTTCTTTTAAACTCTATTATCTTACAAAATATTTTTTTTTATACAATAATGATCAATAGACTATTGAACAGTTTACAAACAATTCTTAAAATGTATTAACACAGATCTCAACAGATAAAGAGTTTGAAGGGCGTAGACTTGGTATTTTTATACAATGAGGAGATGACATGAGACTGAATTTAAAAAATGCATCACATTATGAATAAAATCCTTTTTATCCCATTTCATTCAATCATCTCTGAGTGTTACTGCTAGAGTAACTGACCAAGAATTAAACGCAAAATTTGGAGTAAGGAGTGACTAAATCATAGTTGAAGATAAGTGAAAGTTGCAGGTTTAAATGGAAGAATCTGGAAAACAATTTGTAAAGAAATTATTATAGGATGAATGTGCCTACTTACCTTGAACATGAGTATTCAAAGCATTCTCAAGATTTGTAACACATCTATCAGAAATCTGTTTAAAAAATAATCAAATGAAAATGATTATAAACTGCAAAACAGTTAAATATTTTCAGATGAAGAGCTAAAGACATTTTAGAATACTCCAATGTTCTAAAAGTTAATTAGCTTTAAGGCTATGGTCAACATGCATATGATTATCAATAAATCACTCATACGCAACCCATATGATGTAAGAAAGTTAGAGACATATCAAAAGTATGGCTATGAAATAAATATATTAAAAGAGCTGGTTACGTCACAACAAGCAAGTTATGTCACCACAGAACAAAACTGTGATATTTTTATGGTGTCGTGTATCCAAAGAAATGAAATAATTAAAAACCAAGTGATAAAAACATACGATGACTTGCAGGAATCGGCAAATTTATCTGATTAATCACTGCTAATTTACCGGTTATGCAAGGCTAAAACACGTAATAAAGGTCAAAACAGGTTTAAATACATTTAGCTTCAAAATTAAGCAATTAAATAATTGATTATACTGCTCTCAATCAAGAGTTTTCTAATAGATGTAAATTTTCTCTGGTATTTTACAAATTTTTATTTCTCCATATTTTATGCTAAGATATCCTTTCATATTCCTTTCTGTGTGTGGCTTTGTTTAGCTTGCATATTGATCCTGTTTAGCCACAGTTTGGGATGTGTCTGGACATTTGCTTTTACTGAGATACTTAGGTCGTCACTAGATATTTGTCATGTGTCTTACTGCTCGTGCCACCCAGTTTCATAATTTCAGTTTTCAGCTGACGACTCCAAATGTCTATTAGGAGCTGCACTTACAAATCAAAACTGCCAGATTAAATTGACATCTTAGCCATGATTACCTTAAGATAACCCAGAACACTTTAGCCATGATTACCTTAAGACAACCATGGAACACCTTAGTCATGATTACCTTAAGATAATCCTGGAACACCTTAGCCATGATTACCTTAAGATAACCCTAGAACAAGACCCACATATCAAACCTTTGCCCCATAAGAGTGACCCACCTGTTTAAGTTCTATCAGTGTGTCCAGGGGCTTGTCTTTCTCACCAACCAAAATGGTGAACACTGACGGAAGGGATGGGTTAAGAGCGTTTAAAGTCTGGCTCAGAAGGTCAAGGACAATGTTGACAGGGTCAGGGAAAACCTGCGATGACCACTTGACTTGAGTGTGCCATGTGGAAAGAAGCAGGTCATAGAGGTCACTAAGCACAGTTTTTGTTTGGTTGGCATCCCAGGCAGTTTTCCAGGTCTGTAGCAGATTGTTCTGAAGATCATGGTGGTTAAATATAAAGATCAAACTTCATTTAAGAATACAAAAGTCCTTAATAAATAATATCTTGAATAATTGCATACCTCAAACAAAAGTTTAATGATTAAATTCTATCAATTTTGTATAAAAATTATAAGAATTAAATAGATACAGGATGGTTGGCTAGGATTTCAAATGTATAAAAATATTTAGTTGTTTTTTTAAATGAGATCAGAAAGACCAACACAAACAATAGCTTCCTGGATAGTTAACTTGTTTTAATAGAAAAGAGAGTTACTGAACCTTAGCCTGTATCAGAATGTATTTTATCCCAAGATTTATTTTAAGATAAATTTTAGCTCGTTATTATTCAGTATTAAAATTAATGTTAAAGGAAGTAATTTTAATTTTTTTTTTTAAATTCATGCATTGTTTTCTCTGACCTTGTGGCACTTGTGGTAGTACTTGATCAGTTGTGGCAGTCTTTCAATACTTTCAAATATCTTCACATATCTCTGAGTTTGTTCTATGATAAGACATGTCACAACATGATTTAAACACTTCAAAACTTGTATTTCAAAAGACGATTAATGTTTTAAATTTGCAAGACTGTACAAGTCTTCATTTATTTTTTGCTACAGATTTAACAAAAAATCATCACTCCATATTATTCAAATTTAGTGAAACTTAAGATATCCAGGTTGGACTGCATTTTATGTAGTTGACAACAAAAACTACAATATAATTTTTTTTTTTTGTTGTTCTTGTAAATAATTTTTTTTAAATAAATTCCCCAAATCATGTAATTTTAAATCTAATTTTGATAATATAAAATCTTATTACTTATATTTAAAATGATCAGATTGAAGTAGAATTATTAACATAGCAGCTAATATATCCCTCTGCAATAACTGTTTTCTTGCAGACATCAATCAGGTTATATGTATTTTTTTAACAAATAATATGTACCAAGAAATTTGGCAGATTTCAAGAAAAATATTTTTTAAAGAGGGAATAATTTGAGAATTTTTATTTGGGATCTTACAAAAAAAAATTCTGTAAGCAATAGCCCTCATGAGTTTAGTCACTGGCACACTTCTTTTTTCCCTTAAAATTACCCTATCTCTATTGTTGTTGTTTTTTTTTCTTAATTTCTTTTGTTTGTTTTTTTTTTAAATTTTTTTTTTCTTTTCATATTCTTATTAAAAATGTCTGACTGAACCCTTTCTACCAAATATTATCAGGCCAGGAACAAACAATGAGGCGGACAGTATTCGGCCTTTAAATAATAAAAATAACAAACCTAAAGATTGAGAGTTGAATGCAGAGATGAGCTGAGGGCTGAGCATTGCCTCCAACCTGTTCTTTAGATTCTCTAGATGCTGGCACTTGTCTACATAGTCTGGAGTATCTACTAACATCAGCTAAAATAAATTTTAAAAAAATAAAATATATATATAAATATTATATATATATATATATAAAAATATATATATATTATTTTTACTTTGTTGAAATATATATATGTATATTTAAAACATTGTTTTTTTAAAGAAGCAAATTATTTTTAAGTTTGGAATAGGACATAAATTTGATAATACCACAGTTGTTTTTGAATAAACTTTTAAATATGTACTCACAAGACTCTGTTGCATTCCACATAGTTTGGTAGTTATCTGTTAGAAAAAAAAGCAATGTGAACAACATCAACTACTCCTTGATTAGCCAATAACACACAGTGTTGTTATAAAAACAGATCTATTAATTTTGAACGCCCTTCCAGTCGCTCTCAGAAACAGCCAGACACTGGAGTCCTTTAAAACCGATTTAAAAACACATCTATTTCGTAAACACCTTCTGCGGTGATGCTTTCTACCATCTTTTTTCAGTTAATGTATATTGGCTTGTGTTGCTTATGGTTGAAATGGGATGAAAGACTTTGACTTGGTATGCTTGTATGTAGTTTTATATGGTTGCGTCTGTTTTTAAATGTGGTAAATTTTAGATTGTTTTTATTTCTCTTTTTAATATGGTTGACTTTGTATCGCGCTTCGAGCTTTTGGGGATCAAGCGTATTTTTCAAATAAACTTTATTATTATTATTAATATAATCAGCTTTAGCTCTCCTAAAGATCATTTTTTTGTATTATCACAGACAACAATATAGCTTGCGGTGAAGCATACTAAAAATTAGCTGTTAACAATTTCTGGATTCTCAACATCAACAATGCAAAGAGATAACTCACATCATCAATGTTCTGAGACTGGAAAACTTCATCCATGTCAGCACTCAGAGTGGTCCAGTTGTCAGCCTCCTGTACAAATTAGAAGCATGAAATGTAATTTTGATTATATAAAATCCTGCTCACATTGCAATTAAATATTTACATAGCTATACAGAGATCCATGATAACAATGAAATAAATTTCCTAATGACCTTCAGAGCATCTGCAGTAGTTTTCATACGGGATTTTATTCTGTCCAGTTTCAGCAGCACTTGCATGGACTGTGATGTATCTTGTTCCACCTAAAAGGTATTTTGAAATAAATTATTTTTTGTGCAACTTATTTATCTATTTATCTATAGCATCCCCACCCCAAAAAAAAAGCTTTGTTTTCATCATGATAAATTATAATCTAATATAAGAGGAACCAGTATATAATTTAGGTAGGAAATTCAACATGCATGTAGTGTTCATCACACCTGGTGCATACCAAGAGTGAACTGACCTTAATAAATGATTACTTCACCTTCTGAATATCTTGTTTGACCACCCTCATTTGATCTTGTAGTAATGCTGCCTCTTGCTTGACTGCATCTAACTCCCTTACGACTCTTTATTTTGAGGGAAAAACTTTAAATTATTTCTGGGGTTCTTGTCAAGATTTAAGAGCTTTGGAAAATGAACACTTATCACAAAAATGTAATATGTAAAGGTAAGTGCTACAGTTTCTCCTGTTTTTCCTTGAGTAATAAAGCAAAACAAGAGCAATTTAAAAATCACAGAGTAAAATTTGACATGTGCATAGAGTAACTCTAAGCAAAATATAATTTAAGTCATAGACACAAGAAATACAAATGAAAAACCTATAAGTTAGCCTCTTTTTAGTTATTTTTATATAAACTTTAACTTACAATAAGTATATGATATAAATTTACCTTGGCAAATTCTGTAATGCTTGCTGACTTGCTTCTTCTAAAATATTATTCACCTCCTGAAAAAAAAATGAACTAAATAGTATTAAATTACTGCAGAGGCGTAGCGTGGTGGGGGCAGGGGGGGACAGATGTCCACGGGCGCCAGCTAGTTACGGGCGCCAAAATGCGCTTTGATATTATTTTATTGATGAAAATAATGGGTTTGAGAGTTGAAAAAAAAAGAAAAAGGGGCGCTAAAAATGGATCTTGTCCCTGGGCGCGAATCTTGTCCCCGGGCGCCAAACACCCTCGCTACGCCACTGAATTACTGTCCAATTCAACATTATTTCTTATTTTTTAAATAAGTTAAATCAATTAATTTTACTTTGATTCATCAAAGTTTTTGATTCAAATAAAAAATTAAGACGCTAATACGAACTGCAACTATCAGGGATTACATTTACTAACCTGAATAAAAACTTGCAGCTTCATTACCATTGTTGTGGCAAATTGCTGAATGAAAATGAATACATAAATAATGTTATTTGTAAGTGAAAAATTATAGTGTTGTCTATGCTATCATGATGTGTTGATCAAGCATCATAAGTCTTGGAGATAATGTTTGGTATACTTTTTAAAAATGATTTAAATGAAAGTCACAATTTCAGTCGGTAAGCCCCAGTTCTCCACTCCCCTGTCTATAATGTGCATTTGAATAAAAATGATTAGTGTATTATCACTTTAAATAACTCAATAAATAATCATACTATAAATTATCATGTTAAAATTGGGATTTTACAACATAATTTTTAATAATGCAAAGAAGATTGTACCTACATCTTTGGAAACCCCAGAATCTTTCTGGTTACGAAATGCTGCATTGACCCAATCTTTAGCATCAAAGTTGTCATCCATAAATTTTGAGTAATCCTGAGGAAATAAAATATAACTGAAATTAAGTTATGGGTTGGGTCACAGATTTTTCATTTCTCAACTTTGTCACTAGAAAATGTTACAGTAGAAGCTTGCCTTGTTTACATCATGTTTCTTGTACATTGCGTGTATGAGCTCTGGGTAACTCCAGGTTTGGCGATGATGGGTGTGGCGTAATTATAAATGGTCTCCCTTGACCTTGACTATATAGTCGAATTCTATGGAACCTACAAGATGGGCCTAGGTCAGATACAATGCGTAACCCCTTTTCAGGAAAATCATCTATGAAAAACTATAAATAAGCCGATTGACAGAGAGAGACTGTGAGGCAAAGAGAGAGACTAATAGATTGCCATACTGTGCTAACTGTAGATTTGTTTATTCTATTTATTGTATGTGTGTGCACCTTCCCAAAATTGTACCGGTACCAGTTCATTAATGTACTGTGAGAGAATAGTTTTATTCTATTTGATTTTATATTGTAAAGTTAACTTAATAAATTATTATTTGTAATTAGCAATAGTTTGGGTATTGTTCTTTATTACTGTATTTAATTAATGGTGTCGTCCTTTGTTATGCATTGTTTGTCATGAGCCATATATAGCCAAATAAGAGATTGAATTCTCTACACATTATGGTGGGACTTAACAAAAATATCAGAAGATGGACATTTTTTTAATTTCAAAAAGGTGCAAAAACCTCAATACTGTCAGTAATACTGTAATTATGAATAATAGTACTACAGACACAACACCACTTTGTCCATAACTGTAATCAAATTAATCAAATCAAAGTCAAAAGAACTATTTACAGTACAGTAATTTACTTTATAATTTATAATAATAATAGTAATAGTAATAGTCATAGTGAAGGAAATACATTTAGGCCTTAGGCCTACAACTACAAGACTAGAGATAATATTTAGACCTATATTCATATAGTTAGCCTGCCTATATCATTATCATATGAAGATTTAGACAGCTAGTCATCATCATCACAAAGTTAAGTCATGAAGTGACTAGGAGTTAGAGGAAGGCTGCCCCACATGAAATGTAATGGAGCTAAACACTGATTCCGAAACAGGCTCAAAACAGTGACAGTATTTAATTTAACTAAATAATTGTTCCTTAAATCCATTTCTTATTCTAAGACAGGGGACAGTGACACGGATATAACATGATTTCAGTATATTACATAACTCACGCAATCTTCATGGGGCATACGTACCATTTTAAAAATATTTTAGGTATACCAATATTTTATTAGATTCGTTGGAGCGGTACATGAATACGTAAACAAATATGTAATTAAAGAACCATAACCGCAGACAAGTGACTGTTAGTTGATATACAGTACACACAGGCCCCAGTCCCGCTTATTACCGAGACGTAACAGCAACCCTATATTCTACTTACAAGACATTTCTTTTGTTTTTTTTATTAATTTTGAAATATGTATAATTCATTCACTTTGCTTTTTAGAAAGACCTCACCATAGACTATGCCATAAGTAATAAGAATTCTAATTCAAATTTTATTTCTGGTTGTGCATAAATGATATGAAATTCACTAATTTTTTCGGCGTTAAAATATACCAAATATTAACTCATACTTTTTTTTCCTGTTATAAAAATATAAATAAGTTAAATAAGCCTGGGTTGTCGTAAATAAAATTTTATATTTATAAATTGAAACATACAATAGTATTTTTTTAAATAAAAATTTAAATTACAATGTTTTATGAAGAAATAAATGTGATCAAATTGTTGTTGTTTTCCCTATCCTATTAAAAGTTTTCCAATAAATTCTATTGTTTTTAATTTTGTAACTTCATCAATAATTTTTCGGAGTGACTTTTTTTATTTTTTTAAAACATCAGTAATGTGTTTTTATATTTTATTTCAGTCATGCCTTCCCCGGACCCAAAACATTAAATGCTTTTTTTATAATTAGCTTAATGAAGTAAATACACCCCCTTTGAAAAAGGGACCAAAGCTTTGTTTACGAACAAATAATGTATGAGTTGACGTATAAATAGATTTTCTTCTTATTTTTACAACCGATATAATAGGAACCTTCGCCTCAAGCTTACTTGTGTTTACAGTCGACGGATCCACTCCAAAATAATAGTTTGTATGTTTACAACAGCACATGGCGTTTCTCTAGTGAAGTGTATTTGTAAAATTTATATAAGAATTCATTGTAAGTTTAATTTGTTAATTACATTAAAAGTAATTCAATTACGAAAATGGGTACCGAAAATGTATTTGACAGGAAACTGAAATAACTCTTCCGTTGACTCCCGGTCCCCAAAAAATGATATAAATGCAAGTGCAAGCCATGAATATGAAAAACAAATTTATTAAATATGAAATTACTCTAAACTAATAAGTCTTACAAGAGTCCACATAGATGATATAATATAGGATATCAGTTGGCGTTGGGGGTTATTGCACAGGCCTGATATCTTTGGTTTGGGCTTGGGACTTGTACATTTTAAATTCGAAGTGATTATTCACAGAGCTGTGCGGATAACGCTCGCCGTTATTCACAGATTTCGGTCTGCCGATAACGCTAAACGTTATTCACAGAATGTGATAAATTAATTAATGAATATAAAGTACAAAGTTCGCTTACGCACATCTCTTCGGTAGAGTAGTCGTCAGTATCTCCGACCGTCACCCAGCAGACATAGGTTCGATTCCCCGTCGGGGATGCCTCATTTTTATAAATAAAATTTAAAAACAAAATATTTAATGGTTATTTCGTAGTGTTATATTATAATAATATTCTTCCTATAGCTTTCTTTTTCTGTTTACATAGTTTTATTGTTATTTTCATATAGTTTTGTTACTTATGTTTCAAGTTTCAATCTATTTTGTTAGAATGTTCATTCAAGTTTCGTTAAAAAAATGTAAACAACATGGACAGGCAGTATGCAGATCAGCCGCATAAACCATGTTTAAGTCAGATACAGCTGTTCTAACTGTACATTGTGATATACTTTTAGCTCTTTTGACTGTTTAATTTTCTTTGTATAATTCCACTCATAGACTTTAACATCCATTTGTTTTTTCTCTAATAAACAAATACTAATTAATAACTTACTTATTCAAATATTTTAGATCACAGAGTTGTGTGTTAATGTTTAGCTGAAAAAATATGTCACGTTTTATTTGTTTCATTTTATTTTCTAATAAGGATCATAATAAGTAGGGACACAATATGCCGCTCCAGAAATAGTTGAAATAACACTTAGTGATGACAATGAAAGGAACATACCGGTACCGTACTTAAAACATATCAATATCATTGACATCAACAATTTTAGCTCTTGTAAAAAAAAATGTTGATACTTGAAACAAAAAGCCATACTGCTACTGTTGTAACTATGGGTCTAAAAACAAAAAGCCATACTGTCACTGTTGTAACTATGGGTCTAAATACAAAAAAAGCATTAAAAAATTTGTTGTAAACTTGCTGGTCGTAGGATGCATTGCGAGTCTTGGGGAAGTAAAGTTCCCCTTCAGATCATATTGGCCTACCCATGGGGAAATTGAAGCTGCGTTTACAAGTTTGAGTGTATGGCCAGCGCAATAACCAGCCACCTTTACTTTTGACCAGCTAATGCCAGAGCTGGGTAGACTAAGGGACACCCTCAAGTATGAGGAAAAAATACTAGGCTTAAACAGGATTAGATTCTGTTATTATCAATGTAGGGCCAATATGCCCCTCCCCGTCTCTCACATGGCCGCCTGATGCAGCCACCTCTCTGCATGGGCTATTCCTGACAGAACAATTCTAGACTAGGTGATATATCATAGGGCTTTTAAAACACTAAACGATACCCTATCAAGCTTTGACATCATTTTAA